ATAAAATTTACCTAAAAATCGCATTAAACTATTCGGAAACATAGTGTCAAGTGCGCTGCTTTCTATACTCGATTTTCCATTTCTCACCTCGAAAATACAGGCAAATCAAAACTTGAAAAAACAGTAGACGAAGTGTTGTAGAGTGGAATGAACGCTTTCAGATTCATTACTTACGCACGAAATAACAATTGCGTATTTTTAACTTGTAACGATCCAATACATAACGTCTTGCCAAAACTTCCAATTTTTTGAAGCCTACTATCCTTCACAGTTGCATCAATGAAAATTAAAAATGACAAATTGCGATGGGACACAAAACGATAGCCCTATTAGCGCTGTCATAAAGTTTGCTTTTGAGAGATCACGATCGACAAAAAAAAACACTGAAAAAATGGTGCACAAATGTCTGCGCCAGAATATGAGCTCAGATTCAGATTAAACGAAAAAAGCTGACATTTTTGATATAAGATCTTCATCCTTTACATAAACGTAATATACAAAAGCTTTACAAAAGCTCTGTGACATTGAAAAATACACTTACCAACATAATCCCAAGGAGAAGGTTGTCGGAACAGCCACACAGAACCATGGCGTCCAAATTGGAAAGCCTGCAACAAGAACTTGATAAACTCAAAGTGAAATGATGAAAGAAAGAAAGGAATTAAAAAAGTTCGCACGCAAACAAAAAAGTACAAATGCTATCGTATTTATACGAAAGTTGAAGCGTTGCACATTGGTTTATAAAAATAAACAACCGAATTCCATAAAAGGGAAAGTTAGTGAAAACGGCGACAGCTGATGTAACAGATCCGACTGGATTCATTCAAATCATTCAAAACCAGGTTAAAAGTTCATCAGGAGTACAGCTAGAAAGCAAGCAGAAAAACGAGAGAAAGCGTAATGACGCTAATAGCTGAAAAAGGGTAAGCGAGAGCAGAAGATTATAAGTTATAACTGAATGTATTTAGTCCAAACATCCTAATCTTAGCATCATAACAGTATGTACAAAATCTCACTATCCTAATCTTGGCATGATGTATTAGCCTATATGACCTTCATCAGCATTTCAACTAACACAGTTACAGAAAGATGGATGAGTACAGCAACTATGCAAAGGACTTACGATGGATATTATGTGAAAACTGAGAAAACATTAAAACTATCATAATGGAGTGTGAAAACTAACCTGCTCAATAGCGTTAACCAGTCCACGCTCACCACAAAGCAAATGCGCTAACTCGCTCTTGCTATGCTTCTCACTGTAGAAATACTTAACCAAAGCATTCACAGATTCACCGAGTACTTGTTGGATTTCAGTGATACGCGTTTCTTAAAATAAAGATCAAACTGAAAAAATTTTCAAATTTATAACAGAACAAGCTATACTTGGTGTTGAGTCATAAGTGCGAGTTTGCGAAGGACTGCGCTCTCTTTGAGGTGTTTGACTCCTGGATGAAACTCTCCCTCTTCTTGCTGTACGTGCTGGCGAGTTTGGAACCGTTCCGAATCCCGAATCGCCATTGTCATCATTGTATACAGGTTCTGCTACTAATAACCTAAATAGAAAACAAGGTATATTCAAGAGTTGTCACAACATCCACTAACGAACCTCTCCAAACTAACGTCGCACCCATTACCGAACCACCGGCTGTCTTCTACTCCTTGGCCAAACCACCGTCCACATGGAAATCTGTACATCTGACCTGTGATCTCATTCCGAACGATGACCTGAATAAATGAAGATTGATAAGACGATATCCTAATTACATTTACTTTTGCATAATATCTATTCTGCAGTAGAATAGAAAATGATGCTAGCGGGTCTTATGTGTTGAAGATTTAATATTTATTACAGAATGAGAACAAGATGATTGCAGACTAGAACGTAACAAATATGGGATGGAGACAAAATATAAGCTTTCGGGTTTTGCTCCACTGCTCGGATCAAATTTTACCATTCGGAGGAAAGAAATAAATTGAGTTTTTCCTTTCAAGAAGAGCTTAGACGCTGAAAACATAAAGTTAGCATAGATCATAAACAGTGCGGAAGGAAACAGCAGCAAAAAAAAGAGAGATTGACTATTAAGAAGAACAAAACCCAATTGCAGTTTCTTATTTTATGGTGTTCGGACTAGGACTCTAGTGGCAGTATTTCTTCATGTTTCCCAACAGATTCCAAAATAGCGCAAAGCGATTCATGTAGCGACAGAAGTAAGGT